TTGCTTACATCATATTCTATTTAAAATTGTTTAAGTTATTTTATTTACATTTTATTTTTCAATTTTCCTTATTTTCTAACGGAGAAAATTTTTGTAACCGTTAACATAATTGTAACAACTATGGGATATCTGTACGAATTCAGGGTTGAACATTCCAGAATCGGAAGGTATACAGTGTCTATACAATCCGAATTTTCTACTATGGCTAAAAAAAATGAAGTACTTTTAATTTTCATTGTTATACGTGTAGTCGTGGCCGAGTGGTTAAGGCGATGGACTAGAAATCCATTGGGATATTCCCGCGTAGGTTCCCGAGGCACCCTAGTGATCTTTTTCTTTCCCATGGGGTTTACTGTCTTTGGTAAACACGGGTGATGCACTCCCGGGATACCCTAGCGATCCTTCTCTATTTTCGACCCTCCTTCTTGTCAACCATTTTTACCTTTTTTTTCAACTTCACGTCTAGACCACAATTTAATCTTGTTTAGCGCCAATAAATTTTACATTCACTCACTCCCGCGTAGGTTCGAATCCTACCGACTACGTTCACTGCTCTTTTTGTTTGCGAAGAATCCCAGATTCATAAGAAGTTTTATTCTTAGAAAACGATTATAAATAATGACTAAGGTGGTTACGTTATTATTCACTTTAATTATGCTAAATATAGACTATATCATTTTTTTAAAAACATTTATCGCATTAAAGTGCTTAATTAAATTCTTTATTAAGAATATGATTAAATTAAGTATATCATGTAATGTTTCTAAAGGACGATAGATCTTTTTTTGGAACTCACCTAGGCTTATGAATTGGAATAAATTGATCTCAAAATTAAATGTTATTTGAATTATTTAACTCATATTTCGATTCATTTATTCATTTTTTTAAAAGTAATTTCTTATGGATTAAAATTTAAAGGAGTTCATCTTCTATTCAAAATTCATCTCATGAGGCCAATATTTTAATTTTATAGCTACATGAAGGGAAAAGATAAAAATAGATTATAGTAAAAAGTAGTCTTAAATATTTTATTTAAAGTTCAAATTAAATTTTTTATTACTAATCATTCTATTTGATTAAACTATCACAATTGTACCATTGAATTATGTTACCAATGATATTATATCAATTAAAGGAAAAATAAGCACTGTCTTGAAAGGTTTTTATAATTTATCTTACATTACTCAAAATAAACAAAGAAATAAATAAACCCATTAATGACTGCATAACTTATTTTATCAGACTGGAAGGAAAACAATATACATGAGTTAAAATAATATTACTATTCTTACAATTCAACTGAATGGCAAAGAATTTTGAAAAGCATCCATAGAAATGAACAACAATAGTGCCTTCGCATTTAGTTTTACAAATAATACCATTATGGGGAGAGAAGGGGGAAGAGAGATGAATTGATTCTTAGGATTCTAATGATTTATGAAACAATTAATAAAAAAATAAATGAAGTATAAATAAAATTTAAATATTCTCACGTTTCAGGTATGAAAGTATCTTAGTTTTTAATAGTTACATGCATGTAACGTGATGCTAAATGTCTTTAAAACCACACTTTTTTCATGTATTAGGTGATTATTTTAATTCAAGACCCTAATAACGATGTAAAATAAAGAGTGCGAAATGTATTCTAAATTAACTAGTAAATGCATTTAAATAAATTTCTTAATAGTGCTCTAAAACTTTCTTAAAATATCTGAAATGCAGTTTCTTTGAGAGGAGTATATGCTACATATAATACACACCTTAAGGCAGGCAGAAAAGTAATGTATTACTGTGAAATCTTATTATTCATCTATTTCGAAAACAAGTCTCTTCCCATTTTAATTCAAGTTTAACTTCATTTTCCCTTTCATTTTTAAAATTATATTTTCTTTTGTTAACCTATTCAAGCTACTATTCCACTCCCGATCAATTATTTTGTGCAGTTTTTATAATCTTATAAAATCATAAAAAATCATATCACTAATTATTATATCGTTCGTTTCAGTTTTAATTACATTTAGCTTAAATATATTAAATTTAATAATTTATCCCTTGCTTTAATTTTAATTACATGTAGCTGATAAGATATTCAATTTAATAATTTATCTCATCCTTTAATTTTAATATCGGAAAAGTTTTACTATTGTCCATTTCTCGATATTTTCTTCTTTATTTTAATTCTTACATTTAATAATAATTATAAAAAAGCGCACCTTTGGAGGCTAAATTTGTTCTTTTCAAAACTTTGTATGCAACTTTTTCACTACAGCCATCGGCCTTCATTTCAAATCCAGCTTATTATGAAATTGATTATCAAATTATATAAGTTATTTACTCATATTCTTATACTGGGTCCCTTCCTTCTAAAATATTTTGATTTCCATTTCAAGTTTCATATCATAATTTGTCTCTTATTAAATATAGTTAAGATTACAAGGATAAGCATCGTTTAAATATCTATTTCAAGGCTTCTATTACAATATTTCAGTTTTAAAAGGGGAGCATATTTTCGAGACTCAACGATAAGAATTTTAAAAAATGTATTTTAAATATCGATTGCAAGCCCTTTCTTAAATTTAAAAGATTGTGCAATTAAGAAATGTCCACACTATTAACAAGATCTTCGGAGTAAACAGAAATTTTATTTTGAGACTCCTAGCGAATACTAGAAATTTCCCTTTAATAGAAAATAATTAAAATACACGCATTCATAAATAAAAAACGGCACGAATCCGGAGTTTCTACAACCGAACAAACAATTCAAAATTCGTAATCAATACTGCATGACACACACACACACAC